GCTATATTGAATCAATGACATGAGAATCAAACATATGGAAGATATGGCAAGACCACAAAGTCAGTTACAAGCAGCGCAAAAAAAGAAGAAAAGCTTCTGGGGACGGGTGTGTTCATTTTTGGGATTTTAAATAAGGCTCGCGCAAGCATGGCACGAGGAGGGCCCGAATACAAGATAATTGTATGAACAATGCCTTATACTGCCTACCTGTTTAATAGATTTTAGATGACATAATACATATTAATATGTATCATTTGTTAGCGGGAAAAACTTCAGAATTGTTGGTTTCGAAAAAAGATTTTTTCTACAATAAACTTTTGTTCTATTTATGTATTTAATCCAAAATCTTCAACTAATACTAATAGAACGCTTACAGACTTATATTAAGCTGAAACTATAGTTTTTTGGGCAAAGCTGATAATTACGGCACATGATACTCACTGTTCCATATTGTCTTGATTCCCAGCCTTTTTATATATAATCGCGACCAAGAAACTTTAGTTTAAACAATATTGAGATAGGAAAAGCAGTTTCTTGTGAAACTTTTCATTTATTCCTTTATTTATTTCCATCAAAATATGGTATTCTCCTTACTATATAACATAATTATACCTTATTTTATTCACATTGTCGACTCAATAATCAAGAGAGCGGTTGAATATTGACCCTGTGATTTAACCGCTCAAGCCTTGGCGATCTCTACTCCTGCCAAATATATAGTTCGACAAATTGGTGACCTTTAACTAGGGGTTTCTACTCACGATTCTCGGGCGTTAAGATTCTATTTAGCACAATCCTTACTGTATTGCGTCATTTCTATCAACGGGGTTAATCTGATAGCCCATAGGATATAAATATATTAATTATATAGCGCGCGTTTCTCAATTAAATAATTTGAAGGAATTGACCTAATGATTAATGGCGCGAAAAAGTCATAAAATATTGCTTGCTAGTGATTTTTGAGCCACTTACTGTATACCTTTCGATTGTCTCACTGGCTACATTCTAGCACTACAACTAATAATTTTGGCACCGGGAAGAATTCTTACCGTGCGATAATAGTACAGTCCACCACATCTTACATTGGTGTAACGAGCAATGCAATTCCCATAAATTTAATGCACATTACAGGTACTATATACACAAAAATTGCAAGATGTGAAATCACAAATTACCTAGAGCCGACTTTTATCCTACGAAACGTTAAAATTTGGTTACGCAACTCAAATGTTTTAAAATTGTTAAAATAACTACGCAATTTAAAAGCGCAAAAAATCCGCCATCACGTTTATAAAAAATTACCGAATACCTTGCTTCTTATCGAATTTTGAATCTAGGATACTATTTGGTAGTCCCCCTAATTTGCGTAATTATGCAATCATTTTTCAAAATCGCTTTTAGAGACGGCTAGGTTCATTTTTAGATTTTAAATAAGGCTCGCGCAAAGCATGACCTGGATACTAGATAATTATATGAATAAATGCCTCATACTGCTTACTTATTTATTAAATTTTAGTATGACATAATACATAGTAATAGGCAGACTCGATAAGTCAATCAACTCGCGATAAGCCAACCATTTTTAACGCTATTACTATATGTAAATTACCCTCGATAAGTCGGTCTCATTACAGTCAATCATATAATTTTTTTATAAACTAGTCACGTGGATTTGATATGTCGGTCTGCCAGGCCAGCCATCCGTGACCGCTTATCGAGTCTGCCTATGTATCAAACTTTTGTTTTAATATGGATAGTATAAGTAGAGTAAAGACAGTTTTAAAGCTAAAGGTTATGCAACTTAATATTCATAAATATTCTCGTATACAATTTAAAACGTATTCAATTAATAATTTGTTTCCTCAATAACAAACAAGATGTTTGGCTAAACTTTTTGCATTCAATAGCAGGTTTTTTGCGCTTTCGGATGAATGTAAATTTATTATGTGGATTGATGTTTTAAACATTTTAAAATTTCAGGTCATAACTTAATTTGATTTTTCGGAACACAAAGTTAGTTTATTTTATTAAATTGTTAGCAATTTTTTGTAGATATGTTGTACACTATTGCTATACGTATGTATGTGCTAAATTCAATATTAACTTCACGGTAACTGCGTTGCTCATTATGTCAATGTTCGCAAATCGGTGACTACAAAATAGTATTGTAGATTCAAAATTTGATTTCTCAACAAAGAAGCAAGATTGTTTTTAACAGTGTTTAAGCATTCGAGTTACATAACCTAATTTTAACGTTTTTCGTAGGATAAAAGTCGGCTTTCGGTAAATTCATGGTTTTACTATCTAATATCTTGCATTGCTCATTGTGCTAATATTCTCATATAGTTGCAAATGTAGGGGTGGTCGATGACTTTTGAGACGAGACTTATCTTCATAAAGAGTACAAATATTATTTAATTTGGGTATCGTACTTTAGGCTTGATTTACTTTTACGCTTGTCTCATATCCGTAAAATCGTGATTAATAAATATTTCTGAAATAAAATTCATTTTGTTCAAGTTATTTGAACATCGCCCTTAACAATAACTCATAAATTGTCTAAAATTAAGTTAAATTCGTGACAATGTGTCGATGCAATGAATCGAGAATACCTCTCACCTTAGTTTATTACGTAAGTATACGGATTATAATTTATATAGTACGCTTCTGGTTACTGAAATTACCCTTAATGTATGTTGTGAATTACGCTTGACATAATAATTGCACTACGATGAAAGAAGGCGCTTATTCTCAATAGTATTGATTGTATTTTTGCCTTAATAATTGCGCCACATTCCGTCTTATGAATTGATCAATATCCTGATCGATCGATCTTGAACATCCTCATTGCGCAAAGTCGATCATTGTTCTATCTGCACGATGAAAACTTATTATAGTCCGACAAAAGAGATTTCCATATGGCTAATAACGAAAGACAAGTATGGTCCGCCTGATTTATAGTCAATCAGCAAAGTATTTGCAAATGTCGATCACCTGAAACCTGCGATGCAATAAGCACATTCAGGAACGATAAAGCCTCTGGTCTCGGAAACTAATAGAAATGGCTTTTGTGGTTTGATTGGAAAAGGTTGGGCAATTGATGCAGGAGTGTACTAAAAACTGTTTATACAAGTCTAGACTGTTGCAAATATGAGTGTTTCAAGATGATAAACAATATAGTAAAGAAGATAGAAAAGGAATAAACGCGGTCACTTTCTCAGCACCATAAAGGCTTAACGATAACATTTATTAGAAAACTTTGTAGACAGAAAGTTGTAAGTTTTTCCTTTTTGACTCGAGTTTAATCCATAAAACTAACAACTCGGGATCCCAACTAGATGTTAATTGTACCATTTGCTGCGATAATGTTATTATGGTTTGACAAACCTTTTTGTATCGATACAAGCCTTGCTTGTAACAACTGGGTTTTGGGTATTTGAATAAAGTCGAAACCGCTTCTCTAGTAGTTATGGGAGGGCAAGCTGACAGTTGCGTCCCAAACTTAAACTAAGCCATAACCCAAAATCTGAACATCCGACCAATGAAATACGTAACCTTATTTTTTCTTTGTTTCAAGGCTGCAGATATGTAATAGTAGTTACTGATGTTACGATAACTTCTATGATAAAAAAGAAGGGGGCGTAGTAACATTGATACTATATATAGAATATTATTTAATCTCGGACTATCCAGGATACAAATAAACGACTTTACAACAATCGCGGAGATTAAACTCCATGGATTCGCTTTGGCTTGTATCTGATACCCGTCTGTTTGCTCGATATGTTATCGGGTTCACAATCGATTCTCACAAAAACGCCCAATTTACGAATTCGGGAAGTCACAACATAAACATGAGTTTAAAATTTAAAACAGTATATTTGGTTTTAACAGGGGTTATAAACGGACTTGTATACGCTTAAAATGTCTAGTTTCAAGGGAACATAGCCTGAAATAGTCTCACAAACGCAAGAGATGACATTGTTTACTTAA